ATTTGTAGCTCTTCCTAAGTTTTAAAGTCTGAACACGTGCCGGGATGGCAAACAGATCTTGAGTGTCAACTCCGACAGATTTGTGTTGGTTGCTAGAGAACTGCGATGAGAAGGCTTTCCAGTGGGAAAGAGCAACATGATTGATTAATAATGTCTGCTATGGACATAGGAAGCAGGGTGGTAGCATGGGTAATGGGTCCGTCTCTGGGCATTTTTCTTGACTCTTCTGGATTTTAGTTATATCACCTGCAAAACAAGGTAAATAAACCTTACCTGAGTGAAGGTACGAGCCTGGCCAAGATGATTTCTTGATGTCCTCAGAGGACACCAAAACTTCTGTTCCTAAGTGCATATATTCCAGCTGATTTTATGCAACCTATTCCATCATATATTCATGAAAATCCACTTTTATGTGTGGAATGGAGTTGGGCAAGAGAACTCAACAGACTGAGTCATTGAAAATGGCTCTTGAGGAGGGCAGAGCTGGAAGCCTTTGGCAGGAAGAATGTATCATTTATTGGCACTTAGGGGTGTCAATCATCACTGCCCTGCCAATCATCTGTGAGCTGGAGATGCTTCTGTGTCTACAAATTCTAGGACTGACTGTGTTTCTCAGTCTGGGTGATATGTTGGGGAGGCATGATGCCCGATAAACATGCCTCATATTTTTGGTGACCATTTGGCAAATACAAATAATATATTTTTCTTAAAATACACAAGGTGTATTAATCATGGTCCCAGCAGGATACTCAAGGAGTTTAATTGAAGAGACTTTAATAAAGATTGCATTTACAGAGGTGTGGTCAGGATGAAGGGAACCATCAGAGGGTGGTGAGATACTCAGGGACTAGCAGCAGCGGGAGGCCATTACCTCACCTAGGCCTGAAAGGACAACAGGAGGGAAAGGTGTTTCTGGAATGTGTGAAGGCTGTGGTTGAACAAGAGGGCTAATGACTTAGGAACTCAGCCACTGCCCAGGCTATTGCCCAGGGAGAGGCTGGGGACTAAACACCCAGA